ATTTATAACACATCTGCATTTTTTAAGTCCTGGCTTAACCGTGGTTCTGCTGGCAGAAGAATACGCTGAGCAGCAGGTTGTACACAAGAATAGGGTTAAGCAGGAGACACTAGGAACAACCAGAAACCAGCCAGGGAGAGGGCAGAAGCAACTTTCTAATGCCAAAAATGACCGTCAACCTTTCTGGCAGTGCCTCATAAATCAGAGGATGACATCAAGTGACCTTCAAAAAGAATGGGAAACATTAAGTGCAGGTGTAAAGTGCACTGCTAGGACAGTTCAAATCAGGCTCCAAAAAGCAGGACTGAAGTCCCATAAAGTAAGGAAGAAGCCCTTCATTAATGAGAAACAGGGAAGGACCAGGCTGTAGTTTTCAAAAAAACAATATGTATGTATTACTCACATAAGCACTGTCATGCCCCTCTCATCCGATCCTCCCGTGTGCCACGCCCCTTCATCTACCTCGTGTGGATTCCCCATGTTCACCAGCTGTTTCCTGTTGCTGTCATTAGTTGAATGTATTTAGTCTGCATTTCAGTTTGTTTCCCCAGTCCGCTCATTAACGTCATTGTGTTGTTTTTCCTGTTCTCCGTTCTCAATTAAACACTGTTTCCCGATCTCGAGTCCTGCCCCTGCTTCCCCGGTCCCGGCTCGGCAGATCGTCACGCACACACCCATAAATTGAGAATTTTTTTCCATGGCTGTATATCATACTTTACCATTAGGCAAGGTAGGCAACCGCGTAGGATGCCCAAAATATAGGGGCCCGATGAAAACATAAATTCTTGAAGTTACATTTAAGGGTATAACATAATGTGATCATTTAAATTATAGCAACATGTCTGTTATTTGCGTTTTTAGTGGCATTCTTCTGGACAGACAAGATTGCTGAAGAAAACAGAGAATAGATACAAAGTTAACATTATGGGCCCTACTTTCGAGAAATTATCACGCTCAGCGCAGGTTTACTCAATGTAAACAAGATTAGATCACAGATTTATACAGAATGAAAATTTCAACGGCACAAACAGTTCATGACTGAAAGCAGGTTGCTTACAACCTGAAACATTTGGGGGGCTGCCGGTGTGAGCATAATGATTGCTTTCTGTGACAACCATCCAACAAGGGTTTTGAGGGAACTGCAAAATCTGGGATCATCAGCAATAACATCTGGAACAGTCGTGAGTCCATGTACGAAGAACACCCACCAGGTATTTGTTCGTCAAAAGCGCAATCGTTTTCCACTGCCTAAAGATCGCAGCGTACCTGCAGTGCACCTGACTTCATCTTCATCAAGAGCGACACACACAAGCACTCAGGTACATTTGCTATTTACACAATGTGGGCACTGGATGGAAAAATGACAGTTGTGTCAGGCTCATGCAAGCATAAACACCTGCGTCATGCCCAGTGCCGCTTTGCGATGACGAGAAGTAGGGCCCTACATCACCCATCACTTGTAGACAAATTGTGAACAGAGAGAACACAGTCCAATGAGTGTATGCAAAAATTCAAGACAAACCTTAGCAAAATATGGAAATAGCTACGGTTCTTAAATTCGCCGACGCGATACCCCCCTCCTCCCTAATCGGTGAATTTTTCCAAAAGCACCCTCTTCCCCACCATAATCAGTAAATGTTACCACTAACACAGAGTGCCTTTATTGCCATACTATTGATGTTCCATTGTTTTTAACTCCATCTCCTTTCTCTTTTGGCTCCAAAAAAGAACTCAAATGGCCACTTAGGGGGACACTGCCCATGTCAGCTTAGGGCCCTCTGACAAGTTAGTCCTCCCCTGATATTACACAAAGCTAGCTCTCTTTCGTGTAGCTGTACTGTAGTACGGTGCACTGAAGTTCAGCATAAATACCTGCCTGAGCAGCTGCTCCACAGCCTGTCCTGTATGTGTTAGTGTATATAGGGTCTCTGGTCAAAAGCCTCTCAGTAATCGTCTACAGACTCACCAAGTAGTAAACGTACAGTGACTCCTGGCCCTTCTGCAGTGCTGCGCCCTGGATGATGTACTTTGCCCAGACAAGTCCTTCCTGATCACATGGAAGCTTCCCCTGGACCGACATGATCTTCAGATAGCTGTTGCTCTTTGAAAAAAATGCCATGACCTTCTTATGAACTCTGCAACTCTGTGACGTGCATGTTTGGTGATAGGCCTGATTGAGAGAAGGACATAAGCATTCAGCACTGGAAAGATGGTCACAGCATCTTATATTTATGCAATAACATACGAGAAGTAGTGTGGTTGTATTCCAATATATCACAGCTGAGATTCAGTTGTAGATAATCACAGCCGTGATATACTGGAGTACAACCACACTCCTTCTTGTATGTTATTGCTTAATTATAAGTCTTATTTCATCACTTTTCTTCACCACACTGTTGTTTTATGGGCTAAATTGCCCCTTATGACCTTTATTTGGACCAGAAAACAGTTATTGAAAACTGAGCTCAGTTTAGTCTGTCTATTTTGGTCCACATTTAGCCCAAGACGAGAGTCTCATTCGTACCACATATAGCCTTAATACAGCCATGAAAATTGCAGCAAGTGGGGAATCATCACAGTGAGTGTCGTGTTGTGTAAACTTCATCCAAATCCTGTATGTTATTGAATATAATCAACTTTATAATAAAGAGGAATAATGTCGAAAGGCACAGTGTGCAACGTCACTCCAGGAACTAGCGGCCATCTGTGTGCTTTACGGTCTTATTTTGGTGAATCGTACATTTTTTTGTAATCCCTCACTTCTGCTGATTAACTCCTCCACGTTTGACATCTTTCAGTATAAATCAAGTTTATGAGAACGCTTTTCTGCAGCATCACAGTGCCCATTGTGCTCGCACACGCACACACGACGAGTGTGACTGTGATTGGTCACTCAAAAATTCCATTTTCCACTAAAATTTTGCCATTTTTAGTTTTTGGATTGCAGTCACAGATTTTTATAACACTGAGTTTCCTCTTGCAATGACCGATAAAAATTGTCCCCACAACGTCAAAATAAGTTTTCATCACATTGTTTGGACATTTGGTCCTCACAATGTAATATAAATGTGATCCACACATACACATAGTAGTCTTAGGCAGTCGCATTTAGCATTAGAACATGTAAATTAACAGTAACACAATAGAAAATAAACCAGAATTTCTTCTGTTCCCCAAAAAGTTACTTATACCTGTTTGTATGACTTTATGAACGCAGTTTGTGGTGCCCTAATGACCAACCAAGTGACATTCCAGTCTATTCTCCTTATCGGGTAAGTTACTTATACCTGTTTGTATGAGTATATGAACACAGTTTGTGGTGCCCTAATGACCAACCAAGTGACATTCCAGTCTATTCTCCTTATCAGGTAAGTTACTTATACCTGTTTGTATGACT